ATTAATTTGAAATAATTAATAATAGTGTTATATAGAAATGGAGATGTAATATCACATTGGGTGTCTTAAAATAAGTAACACAAATATAGTTTAAAAATCTTTAATATAATTTTTCTATTACTTAATAAAGTTTCTATTTTTTAAAAAAAAATATATACATATATATTATTTATATTTTTCTTTATAATTTGCTTTATTATTTATATTTTACTTCATTTTACCTTATATTTTCTTTATATTTTGTTTTATATTTTATATTTTGATTTATATTTTATTTCATATTTTAATTTATATTTCACTTTATATTTTGATATATATTTTGCTTTATATTTACTTTATATAAAAAAAACTAATAATATAATACATATTATTTTATACAACTTATCTGATTTATTTACTTCATTCAAAAATATTTTTATCTAATAATCCTTATTAAAAAAATTACATTCGACTTAAACCAATGATTAAATCTAAAAAAATAAATATTAAGTATTTAATTATGATTTATATTGTTAATATTAAGAGTTTTATACATTTTGATCATAACTTTTGATATAACAAACCAAATTGGATGAAACAATCATCATTGGATTCAGTTCACCAAGACAATTCTAATAAGTATAAGATCATGTAATTCCAATTACAGGATTATGAAATAAGAATGATTTTGATAAAAGTATTAATTCTAATACATGTAACTTAATTCTGATTAGTTTACATTATTGTATCAGAAATCTAATATTTCTATTATTTTTAGTAGATCTATCATTTCTATTAGTTTTATCATATCTATTATTTCTATTATATTTATTATATCTATTATATATATTATATCTATTATATCTATTAGTTCTTATATATCTTAATATTATTATATATAGTATTTATTAGCAATAGAGTAATCTTTATTGTAATAATTTATATATATAAAATATCTATAAAAATACTACTTTCTGATCCTTCAAGAAAGTTAAGTATCTTCATACATTTCAATAATAAATAAATTGAATACAATATTTAGTATCTTCATATATTATCTATTATTGCCTCTGTCTTAAAATCCCAAATCATTCTATATTTTGTTAAGTTTTGTATAGACTTTGTATAGAATCTGTCAAGTCATAGTCATCATACTAAAGTTGAACAGCTTCTGTTATCACTGTGGTTAAAAAAAAAACTGTAGGTTAATAATACATAGATCTTAACATTATAGAGCACTTTAAATTAATTAAGCAAAATTTAAAAAATAACAAAGATTATTATATGGTTAAGAACATGAAAAGGCAGAATTTTTATCATCAAACTAACTAGTACCTTATCTCTATCAATGAAATTCTACTATAAAAACCGAATCATTATGAAAAATAGCAAAACTTCAAGTACAACCAGCATCAGTTCAACAAAAAAAAATGTAACCTTTTTTAAAGAAAATGTCAACCCGCCATCATGTAAAATAGTAAAAACCAAAAAAAGGTATAATTTACAAAAAATATTAACGCATGCAAACAAAATTATAATAATATAAAGTTTTTTAAACGTTCATAAATGTATACATATTATTATGTGTTGTAAATATTTTGTGCGAAGCACATAATTAATGAAATCAATTTTCAAAAATTTTCCGGATATTCATTCCGGACTATCAGATGATCATTCGGAGCGTAACCTGGTACTCATTTTCGAATTGCCTTATTGTATAGTTGTCTGATTTAATTTCATATATACAAACTATACAATAAATTAATATAATATTTAGTTTTTATTATTAAATATAAAATTTTAAATTTAAATTCTATAATTTTATGTAAACTTTAATAAAATTAAAAAATATTATCTTTATAAAGAATTTTTGCAAATAGTTTGCATTTTTTAAAGCTAAGTTTATTATTGTGAATATTTAAATCGATTAAGTGAGTGTTTTTGTAGAGAGCTTCTGACAGAACTTTTATCCCTTCATAACCAAGTCGATTATTACTAAGATCCAATGAAGCTAAAGTGGAATTTTTATAAAGAACTTCTGCCAATACTTGTCCTTCTTTAAAGGTAAAATTGTTACTAGAAAGAACTAGATTAGTTAAAGTTGTATTTCTGTAAAAGGCATTCGCCAACGCCTTTATTGCATCGTAAGTTTAATATCTAAAGAAGATAAGGCTGTATTTTTATGAAGAGCTTCTGATAACACTTTGATTCCATCAAAAGAAATATCATTAAAACAAAGACGTAAAGATGTTAAAGTATTGTTCACATAAAGAGCTTCTGCTAATGCTTTTACTCTTTCAAAACCAAGGCCATTATAAGAAAGATTCAAGGAAGTCAGAGTAGTGTTTTTGCAAAGAGTTTCTGATAATATCTCGGCTTCTTTAAAACCAAGTTGATTGCTTGTAAGACTCAATGAAGTTAAACAGATATTTCTACAAAGAGCTTCTGCTATTGTCTTTACACCTTCAAGACCAGTCTCATTATTTCCAATGTCCAGAGACTTTAAACCGGTATTTATGTAAAGAGCCTCTTCTATAGCTTTTACTCCTTCAAGACCAAGATTATTTTTATAAAGATTCAGAGATGTAAGAGAGTGTTCCTGTAAAGAACATTTGCTAATATCTTGCTTCCTTTAACGCCAAGATTATTAATATAAAGGCTTAAGGATGTCAAAGTGATATTGTTACAGAGAGCATTTGCAAGTGCTTTTCCACTTTTAAAACCAAACTGGTTAGAATTAAGACATAAGAACGCCATAGTTGTGTTTTTATAAAGTGCCTTTGCAAATATTTCTGCTGCTTCATCACTAAATTTGATATCTGAAATGCATAAAGCGGATAAAGTTATATTCTCATAAAGAGCTTCTACCAAACTTTTGGCTTCGTCCAAACCAAGATTACAATTATGTAGTTATAATGAAATCAGACTAATATTGCTAATGTTTTATAGCTTCAAATTTAAGTTTAATGCCAAAAAGTCTCAAATAAGTAATAGTGATGTTTTTGTGAAAAAGCTCTTTTGATATTTTCTCCAATCTAGTGATTCCACCGAAATTAAAAAATTTGGCTTTTTTAGATGTTCGCGCTAACATTGTAATTAAAGAATATTAACAACAATATCGTTATCATATTTATCACATATTCTATAATACTGATTATAGTAAGATTCATATTCTTCACAATAGAGATAATTTATGATTCCTTTTTTTAAATTATTACCATTAACATATGTAGTATAATATGTATATTTAAATAATAATTTGGATTATTGGGAAATTCTATATTTAATGGAACTAATTGAGCTATTTCTTCATGATTTAATGATAAAAAAATATATGCTTATAAGTTTTTTATCTTTGCAGTTCTTTCTTGGTTCGCTCCTTAATATTGGAACAATTTTATCATTTTGAAATGACAAATGCTTAAATCAATTACTTATATATTTTTTTTGCTCGGAGCGTAGCAGAGTGCACTTAATATCAAGGTGACACAAAAGATAACTATTGTTAGTTCTTAGTTAGAACAGTCTCTTTTTCAGAATGCACATTGTTACACGGAATACAATCAATACAATCAGGTCATTTTTTATGTGACCAATTGTTCACTGGTTCTAATGAAATGATAATCAGTTATCGTGAAAACTATCCCTTAAACTGTCAATTTAACTACGTATCTACTACGATTTAGATACAATTCAATATAATTTGATAGCTTAATCACAGATCAATAATGAAATTTCCAGGCAAATTTGCCTGGAAAACAGTTTAAGGGATAATGAAAAACCGTAACGAAGAGAGTAACAGGATTTGATGATCATTTCTATACTAACCTTTAAATTTGTAAATATTTCAAACAAAACTCAAAAGCACTTATTAATTCTGTGATTTGCAAAACATAATAATGAAATGAGTGACGAAAAAGGATAACCTGTAAATTATTTCACCATTATCGAGATAATGAGTGAAATAATTTACAGGTTTTCCTTTTTCGTCACTCAAATTATGCCAATGCAATATTATATCGTACCAAAAATACCATCACTTTTGTCAATATTGATCCGGTTACGTGACTTATAACATTTGTTAATATTAACTCTTTATGATTACATAAATTAGGCTACAAAATTAAAATATTATTGTTATTGTATGCTAATCTTACCTGCACAATGAATTCCCGAGGTACGCCGTACTAGGGATGGAATCGGCTACGGCTATAGCCGTAGCCGATATTAACCGACCGAGCGGCTTAGCCGACCGGCTAGCCGATGACAGATTTTTAATTTCC